GATGTGACTAGATCTCAACGATTAAATGAACAAGTTCCAAATTTTTTTCGGCCGAAGATGTTTTTTAGTTCGGTGCTACGCATTGCACAAAAAAAAGTACTAAAGAAACAGTTTTCCAGAAAGGTGGTACGTTTCCCATGGATTCACCCATAAACAGTCACGAAGACCATTCATGAGATAATGTACTTTGGTCGATTCATGCATTTGTGGTATCGCTTGTTGAGTTAATTTAATCATTTCATTATAATATTGGAAAGCGGATTGGTGAATGGTCTGATGAAAATGTTGAAGTTTTTTAAATGGAATATCATGTTGAAGATTGAAATTAAAAGAATTTTTGATTTCAGAGACGAAGTGTGACCAAGAAGAGAAATTTTTAGAATGTTGTTCAAACCATTGATGAGCGTCGCCTTTGAGACAAATATGAATTAAGCTCAATTTATCGGGGTCAGATAAATTCATAATTTGCAATTGTTGTTCGATTTCGTCTAACCATGTGACAACATTGTCTTTACGACCATAGAATTTCAGTAGCTCTTTAACGAACCGATCAATTAAGGCTTTTGAAATTATTGCTGATAACAGAGGACGAGAAGTTGCGATATGCGAATCGGGTGAGGGTGTTGTGTGTTAAGGAATAAATGATGTTGTTGTATCCAACAGTTGATCCATAGAATTGTCCATTGAATTTTTGCCAAGAATAACAGACGGAGAAATATGTGAAAACGAATTCGTTAATTGAGAAGAGCGATGAGAATCAGGTGGTGATTTAACATTCAAAAATTCAAGAGTAAATAATTGACAGAAGTCATGATAATCGATAATTTTTTGTCGATTTAAACTATACCAAATCATAGCTCCACCACCTAAAAAATATGGAAGAATTTCAATACGATCACGAAATGATAATTTCAAATCAGAAAATGTTGAATCAAGTTGGATGAACCATTTATAAGCGTCACCAGTGCCGGAAAATGGGGAAATATGATTACGAAGAAAGTCAAGTAAGGAGGGTTTTTCAACTAAATCATCTGAAAACTGTCCATTTGAATCAAATGTCACTTTATCATTAGCTTCAGAATGATCTGAGTCATCATTATTCTCGATAGTTTTT